AATATTGATTAGAACAAAAGTTATTTCATTTGTCAGAAGGTCAGATCTCTGTGGGACACTCTGTATAGCTGTCTTTAATATGATATTTTAAAACTTTAGCTCAAATGTTTATATATGGAGTTTAATGTTTGAAAACCTTTTCCAAACGTGTATTTTATTGTTTTTAATTAATATGTTGAATTAATTAATGCAAGTAATTAATGCATCAGACGTTTTCAAAAAATAATGTTTTATATCCTAATCTAGTAAGCTCTATGTTCAGCAAAAAAATAAAAAATCGTAATGAACAACCATTAGAAGAAATTGAAAACTCCGTCATAAAGTACATAAATATTGATTTAATGCTCATGGGAATTCCGGAAACCATTCCGATATGCTTTTAGTTTTAGTATAAGTCTCTATCTTTAAAATCCCGATGGACAATACTCAATCAATTACATCGTATTATTAATATAATACTGTGGACAAAACAGCAYAAAATTTAAAATATTTCATAAAATATGTAGGTAKGTAATTGTTATAAGAGCAATATTATTATAATGCAGTAATTATATTAGTTTTTATTTAATGTTGCACAAACGAGGTTCTTATGTAAAGTGTTGATAATGTAAATTTTAGCTGCATTGTGCATTTACAGCCATTAACTAATAATATTATTTAAAAMTTATCTACAAATATAATATTATATACCTACAACATATAATTAAAATATGTGGGTCAAATTAAAATTAACTCTTTCTTTTTAATTTTTATATACTTTTTTCTATCTAACGCTTTGGCTTTGCACATTTAAATAATATTTTGAGATTCTTAATCCTAGCAGCTAATATTATATAGTAATTAACATAATAATAATTATCTTCTCTGTCGCTGTACCTATTTCATTGTAATAATAAATAAGGACACGTGGATGAAAAAAAAAAATACTATAACCATAATTTTTAATGTGCATCGAAAACCGTTAAACCAGCATTCTATCAAACAAATCCTTTAGATGCCAAAATTCAATTTACATATTATATATTGTAAGTAGTATACGCACAAGCGGATTTTGATATTTATGGTAAACACGTAAATATGTGTACGTATTTTAAGTGTWTTCGTCCCTGTTGAAACCAAGTGAGGATATGCATTGTGCAGATACAAAACCTCATTGTGCATTATAGAAAACTTGACAAGAAAATCTTCCCATTTTTTTTTAACTCCCCTGAACATAAACGTTAATCATTTTATATATATTTATGTGTGTATTTTTCCACATAAATTGTTATCAACAACTTGCTCTTGAAAAACTTTTTTTAATACCCGTGGATCGTATATTTTATTTTGAGTCAAAAAAAATACTAAATAAAGAGAGAAASTTTACGCCAAATGCACATTTTCCGAATGTTTCAACAGGTGCAGAAAAAAACACATAAAAAGTATGAACCTACTCATACACACATAGCGTAAATCTTAGAAACATAAAAAAACACTGTGACACACCCGTCATAGATCATATCGAAATATTATATAGACGTCTTGTAGTAAGTCCTAAATAGCATTAAATAGGTTAATTACAYTCTTAGACAAATATCATCTGTTTATAAATTTAATATAAACGATACATTTTTAAACAATTTTTATTTTTATTGTTTAGTCTAATACTTAGGACGTATTCACTTTTATTATATTTATCATATATTATCAAACTCGCCTCTGTCACTCTGAACTCGTCCTCGTGCTATTGTTAGTCCTGCATGTTCGAACCGAACGACTTGTGACGTCATATTATTATTTTTTTTTTTAAATACTATTTAGTATTAAAATAAATTATTAATAAAGTTAAGTATTAAAATACCAACATTTTACAACTTATCCGTGTAACATATACATATTATATAACAATAGATGTACATACACAGATGAGTCCGGCGCCTTCGAAAATATGTAAGTAAATACACTAAAAACATAAACACTGAGATAATATTATATACACACCTCATGATGAACAATACAATAAATCAATAAACAATTATATTTTTTGGAAACGTTTATCAACGTAAATATAGATATAAATAAAATCGAAAACCGGTCGATAATAAGAATTTAAAAAAAAAATAGTTAAAACGTAGAAATTATACAAAATAAAAATTATCATTGTTTAAATACATTTTTTTTTTTTTAAACTAGTACCTACCTATTTATTTTACGTAGAATTACATTCTTTGCAGCATTCTCGGAATGTATCTTTTCGGTGGTAAGTTTTGCATGTACGGGAACGGAGCCCGGGAATGCAACTGCAAAGAAATTGTCACTAAACATCCCTTGTGCGTCTGCGATCGAAAACATTTTAATAATGTATTATGGGCAACAGTCACCGTCTTTCAAGTAGGTCATCAAATACTTAGATAGTTGTTATGTGCAAACGCATTTTATCATTAAGCAATATGAAGTCATCAAACTGATATTGTTGACCTATAATTATTAGGTAATATAATAATATATTGGCTTGGCGTGGCGCGTTGGCTGCTATCAAGCGCGAAATGCAACTGGGAGTAAGTAACGGCCACAGCTACTAGCTCCCGGATGGGTGACCACCCGGGTTCATAAAGTAGTTAAAAACCTTGCCACACATACACGTGTTTGCTACCTATCGTAACAACCGTAAAAACAACCTACCGTACCAAAACCTTATCCATACCACAGTTCAAAACCCCTACAACAGCAAATGGTCTTAGTCGCCGGGCTTAAGATCAATAAAAAAAATAATAATAATAATAATATATTAACGAGAGTAAAAATCAAATAAACTTATTTTAAAGTAACGAATTAATTATTAGTTTTTCAACRTGCACATGTATAATATAATATGTAATATTAAAAATTATTCACTACGAGCTATTGGGTTTTTCAATTAATTATATTCGTTATAACTGAATTAATATATTATTAAATWAATCATTTATAGCAAAGATTTTACTCTAATACAGGTTATACATAGATTAGTGCAAACACTAAAATAAATGTCCCCATTTACAATATTTAAATTAAAAATACATTAATYTGGAATTATTTTAATTAACCCAATTTAGTGTAACTAAAACAAATTATAAATAGGTATATAATGATTAAAAAATATATCAATATTCTCTAATCGATTATTATTGATAACTATATTAACTGTGAGTAATAAATTAATAATATCAGTTATGTTTGATTGACTTGTATTATAGTGGTACAACTGTTATCATTTTCTTATAATCCCTGTCCGTATATGAGTATTGAAATTTAAATTAATATTAGAACATATAAATATACCGTCTACAATGTCTACATAAATATCCATTAAATTAATTAAATTATATCTTTGTTTCAAAAAATATTTATTTGAAAACAAATAAATGCATTAATAGACTAATTTTGTTTAGTAAAAATAAAAATAAATGTATTTATTGCATTGAAATTTAAATACGTGAATRATTTATTATGATATTGACATATTGTTTTATTCTGTGTTATATTAAAGCAATATAGATTGTGCACAGTAATACAATTCATGATAAAACTTACATACCTACATTTTATTCTTAAATATTACATTATAATCACTATTATCAGAATAAACATATTATACCTAAATAGTAAATATGATGTTATTACTATGATATATATTTCGTAATGTAATAAATTCAAAATAAATACGAGATACAATTTATTATTTTAACGGCAAAAACATAATATAAAATCAAATAACTATAACATGTTCAAAAAAAAATAAAAATAGATTCGAACTTTTTAAATATTTTTAAGCATTATGAATGAAACTAAAAAATAATCATAATTAAATACGTACCATATGAATTTCAGAAACAATAAAATGCGTTTGTACTTCATACTAGTTTTTATTTACCTATCTTAGAATATAAAAAAATTCATTACTATGATATGTTTATTATTTTTTTGTTCGATTAGTGAACATTGAAACCATTTCAATACTACTAATGGTCGTACTATGCTTTTAGTGACCTATTTCACGATTGTGCTTCTACAACCGCTTTTTTTAATTACAAAATTATAGATTCAGAATTATTTAATTTATTTAGCATTTGTTTCAACAACACCACCGCTTATAAAATCGGACCTAAAACTTTTTTCGATACACATCAAAATAGATACAAATTATATTCGTTTCAATTTATTAGGGTTAAAACAAAATACATTTTAATATAGATATTATATTGCACTTTACCGAATCTATAATATTATGATAATATAATACAATAATTTTAATTTAATTTTCAAACTATTATGTGTGTAAAAGATTTTAAACATTATTATAATTTTTTATTTTTACCTCCGCACAGATTCTAACACAAGAAGACTGGAATATYGTTTTGTTTAACGGAATGGAAAAAACGAGTCAYTGGGCTGCTCTTTATTTTGTGACGCTGATGACTTTCGGCAATTACGTGCTGTTCAATTTACTGGTAGCAATTTTGGTTGAAGGATTTTCTTCAGAGGTAATAGCCACAGTTAGATACATTGAATAGTTCCATATGCCTAGTAACTACTAAGCAAATAGTAACAATTCTTTAAATTGCATGCAGTTGAAATGTWTTTGTATCTGTTGAATTGAAGGTTTTATATAAAGTCATTACTTAATATGTAAGCTTATTATGGCATCGAATTTATCAAACTTATATAAATTTACATACATCGTAAGCAAAAAGTCTTTAAACAGTATTACAGCAAACACTCATTATTATTATTTTTTACATTTTATTTTTGAAATGGTTTTATAAATATAAGAGTCCATATTTCAGTGGTAAACATTTAGTAATGAACAAAATTATTCTGGATGTAYGGTTTATACTATTCACTACTCCTCCTATCAAAAATGTAAATGGTAAGGTATGAATAAATAATACACAATTGATTCAATATTTGATATTTATACGTCATCGTTTATATAATTAAAATGTTCTGATTAAAATTAAGAGAATAAATTATAAATTGTCATTTAAAATGCAAAAGTTAATACTGTTTTCACAAATAGAAATGAGTAAAAACAAAATAAAAACTAGTATCACAATAAATTATAAAATAAACAAATCATTAAGTTAAAACCTATATTRTTATTATTATTTAATACAAAGTATAACAATTTGTAATTACTTATCATTATTATTACACGATGTTTTGAACTGCTTTACTTTAAGACGACAACGTTTTAAATTATAAATTATTTATGAAACATACAAATATTAATTTCGAATAATATTTAAATTAGCTAACGTAAAAATCTGAGTTATGCTCAAATTTAGGAACAAAATTGTTTTTTTTTTTTTTTTAATGGCAATGATATTTTATGTTTAGCGTAATGAACGCAGAGAAAGAGAACGACGGGAGCTCGAGAGACAACAACAGTCATCGTGGTGCAAGTGCACCTGTTCGTGTTATGGTGACGAGAAAGGGGATTGTGAATTTTGTACAGAGAAAAAAAGCTTGAAYGGAAGATCAAGCACCGAGTTAAAAATTGATAATCCAAACAGAGACATTATAACTAATAAATGTAATACACACAAGGGTAAGCTCAGAAAGAACTAATCTAATTATATTTTCAAAAAATATTATTACTGYTACGATTAATATTAATACTGTTACTTTTAACTTGACTGCCACGAGTTTCTAAATTTGGCCTCGCCAAACTTCTCTAAGATGCCACCWATCTATCATAAAATACGGGATATTTTCAAAGGCTTACTACACTGTAAAAAAATTATATTTGCAAGTTCGTAACACCTTCTGAGAGTGGCAACACTGTAATTTTTAGTTCCAACGAGATGCTGATTATTGAGACAAAAAGCTAGAAGTTATTTTAAATATTTTAATGTGAATCAAATGAATGGATTTCATACTCTTCGAGCAATATTGACAAATTTACAAAATACCGCATGGCAGTCAAGTTATTAATTAGTTATTAGTTTATGATAATAAAAACTAAAATTTTTTAATCTTTAAATAAGACGAAATAACACCAGAAATAACAAGCCTGTCAAGCTCAAGTTGTAATCATACTGTTCTATTGGTACAACTATAGGGATCTTATTTAATTTTTAAAATTTGACCTGGAATATAAATTCAATATTTAAAAATCGATATTCATACATTACAACTACACAAAACTTTAATTAACTTTAATCAGTAACTTAAAAGTCATAAAAATACGTGATTTATGAAAGATTTAAGATATATAAGTAATATAACTTTGACGTTTATAAATACTGTCTCGAAAAATTGAATGAGTCAGATAACTTTATTGGTAGAGAACGGTATATAAGATTCCTTATATCTAACCAGGAATGCTTGAGTTATAGTATAAGAACTACTGATATTTTTCCTGTTAACACATTCTCATAACTATTTACTATTCGTCTATGCACTTATTTAGTGTCTCTAGCATATTATTACCTACGAGTATGATACATTATTTGATATCTAAAAAAAAAACTGATGAATATAATTTAATTTAATTAAATTTTTTATTATCTATTCCGAATATTTTTCAATATACCTTTTTCCTTTGGTTATATTTTTTCTATGAAAAACTGTACAACTTGGTTTTAGTGTTTATTTTTAATTTATAT